CCGGGCCGGGTTTCGACCCGGCCCGGCAAATGGACACGTCTAATTAATTAGACTAATTGTGGGCCAAGCCCACTCCTCTAATTAATTAAATAATATTAATGGGCCACCAACATTATATTATTGCACTCCCTTTTTCTAGCCCAAATTACATTTGATACTCCAATAATAATTACTCGATTTACCTCCCCACGTTTAAGATATAATGTTCATTAATTAATTCGATTACTGACAATCAAGAATTAATTAATTTATTATTATTTCACCGAAGCTAGCGCTCGTCCATCATATTCTTATTATGCCGGAACTTAATCCACCTGCAGGGTTTAGCATAACAATCCTTCATGAACTCACTCCGGGGACATCATCAAACTAACGTACATGGTGACCGTAAATATCCTAACAGCACATCTTATATATAATAATATTACCCAAAACAGTAGGAATATTAATCCAGCGAACTGAACCTCACCCATGTGAATCAAAGTAATATATATTATATATATCTGCCTATTTAATATCTTACAGGTTAAGAGAACGCAGTAATTAACCGAGGCCTAGTTCATTTACGACGATCAGTATAAAATGAACTTCTCCTCTCTGGGATCCTGTTCAATACATAAATGTACTAGTGCAACTAATCAGTCAAGACAAACTGTACAGTTGACACTACAACCGTTCGGATGGGGTGTTCATGTCCATCTAGGTTGTGAACAACTATTCTTGTTCGCAAGTGACTGATAGAGTGATCTTCGGTTCGCCCGATGACGACCCACCCTATCTAAGTGCAGAACAACAGAACGGAGAACTTTTTTAATCTAACATGATTCTCATTCATAAAGGGTAAATGTGTAATAACATGCAAAGCCAAGCTGTCAGTATATAACACTAACACCGTGGACCCGTCGACTCCGACGAAGAAATTTACGACAGAAAGATATATTCATTCTTCACTGTCAATCAGATATTCATGTGTGGGTTGACCAAAATGTGGAGTCCAAGAATAAGATTAATTCTTTAAATATCAGAGTGGTAAAGTTCTAAAATGACACTATATTTTATTGTGCTCGAAAAGAAGTTCCTGGAGCAATGTTTTCTTCATGAGAAACTCTCTCTTCAAACTCCGATATATATTGTGAATGTAGGGGGTGAACCAACCTTTTTCACATGTTTGTTCTCTTGGGACTCCTCAAAATCTTCCGCAAGTATCTTTTTAACATATGGAATCGTCATTGCAGTTAACTGATTTATATTTTCATATTATTCTGAGCCACTACTCCAGTTGCAGATGCATGCATGGCTAATCAATTGAAAGAAAATTGGCTATTCTTAAACATGAAGGTGTTGGGTTCTATGAGGAACTTCGTTGATGTGCACATCCGAATCTATTAAAAATAAATCTTAACGCATCAAAATCTAAAGTTAGGATTAAGACTTAAGGTTTAAAATTTTTTGCCGACTCTGAAACATTTTTGATTTCCATTGATGGAGATCATATGAACCTCATCGAGTCATCGTGTCGCACGCCATCACCCTTTCACATTTCTCGGTGTTCAAATATTGTCTCGCATCACCTTGGGCTTGTTGGACTGCTATGGGACCGCACCCGATCTGTTGGAGGTGGACTAAACTCGCCACAGCTCGCCTGGTGCGACGGTGGCTTGCCTTGGCCCGAGAAGGTAATGAACATGCCAGGTTGCAAGCATACTGCAAACCCTTATGCCATTTAACAATTAAAGGATTTTGCAACATTTTGTTTACTCACATGGCAGTACCAACCTCACTTTTGTTTGAATTTACCATATGCTCACTGGCATTAAATTCGCACCAATCTTCCATTATGTTGACAGAGAAAAATATAATGGAATATGGGTCTGGACATCGCACACGAGAGAACGTGCACACACTCACACACAGAGATTCAGAATAAACAAAGCGGTAACTTATCAGTAGAATCCCCGTTTATATAAAAAAATTAAATTTACCAAAAAACAAATTACCTTTGGTTGTTTGAAGCTCTTTGTCATATCTTTTCTATAATACTCCATAATTGATACTAAAGTCTTCCCTCTGAACATAGATAATGTCACTCTTCTCCTATATGATAACTAAACAAACTGAAAAGAGTGAAAAAAACTATCAATATGAGGAACAAGAGCAAAAGTTTAAACATGTTATTCCAAGTTAGGCTTCAATCACCATCTAAACACACATATTCAAGCATATAAACAAAAAAGCGCTCTTGTACTATAAAACATAAAAAACAGTTCAATTCACCAATTTGAACCAAAAATCAGTTCTATAACAAAACAAAATTGTAGTCTGAGTATAATAAATAGAATACTACAAGCCTTATGCTACAAATAATGAGACCACCCTCATTGTCATAATCTCTACCGTCTTTATTTTCGTTGTTATCCTCCTCAGCTTCAGTCTGTTGTGCCCTAAGGTACGCGATGCCGATCTCCCTGATGATTTTCTTCTGGGTGGGTTCGGAGAGGTTCATGCCGAGCTTCTCGGATGCAGAATTTTAGATCTTGTACTATGGCTATGTTTGGTAGACCAATAAGCTAGCTTATAGCTTATTTGATTAGCTTATAAGCTCCCTGTTTTCAAATAAGCTCTGTTTGGTAGGACGAGCTTTTTTAAAAAGCTCGAGCTTATTTGATAATCTTCTATGGGTAGCTTTTCAAATAAGCTAGTTGAAGTTTTTATTTCAGCTAGCTTATCAGCTAATTTTACCAAACACTTTTATCATATTAGCTAGCTTTTCATCTATAAGTCATAAGCTATAAGCTATAAGCTCAAAAATTAATGATAAGCTATAAGCTAGCTTATCAGCTATCAGCTAGCTTATCAGCTAGTTTTACCAAACATAGGCTATGTCTCTCATCCATATTCGAATTCATCATGATTTCCAAAACAGAAAGCCCCATCTAACATAGAAAAAAGTAAATTACTCAGAGCTTTGCGGATCAGTCGGGGACATCATGTCGTACCGCCAGGGTTTCAATCATCCATCTACCATTTGTCATCAACCCACGACTGTGGGTAATTCAAATTCAACAAGGCCCTCGATTGATCCTTTCAGTCCCTATCAAGATTCAGTAGCACATTGCTCCCTGCCACTTGCCGCCACCAGACCTCTACCATGCGACATACAACATAGAGAGACTTCATCCTTCTTGAAGTCGTTCATTGACAGAGGTGCCTTGTCCCTGGTAGATTGAAAGGATGAAAAACTGGGTTAGATTTGTTGGGAGAAATAATAAGAAAGAAAAAAAGAGAGAAATAGAGTGAAAGGGCATGATTGATGCGATTGTTTTGCATGGGTCTGTACTGGATTTGTTGTTTAATTATTACGATACACTTCAAAAAAGCTATCGTTTTGTCTCAAGAGTCAAAAAAAAAAAAANGCAACAACAACAAAAGGAATTTAAAACATGGACATATGCCACTATTTGAAGGCTTCAAGTTGCTTCATTATAATGAAAGAGAGATATAAATTTTATTTAATCTACGACTACGTTTGCATTGAGAGATTTATTGATGAATTTGAAATCTATAGATTTCAAATTTACAAGTTCAAATGTCCATACATGTTGGGATTATAATGGAAGTTGGAGGATTTCAACTTCACGCTAGATAGATTTTAGTCATTATTTTGAAGGGTTTTAATTGACTATTCAAACATAGTCATTTGAAATCCAATGTTTATCCCGCCGCTGACGACCACGCTATCCGCGACCATTTAGATTCATCACCACCGCAAGTCAACACCATCGGTGCAAGCTAGACAATGGATTTATAATCCTTTCCACAAATCCATTCATGGAGTTTGAAAGTAGCAAATTTATATTTCAAATAATTCGAAATCAAAGAATTTCAAATTTCTCGATACAAACGTAGCCTAAATGATAGCAATGTAGGTGACCTTTATGCATGGCACCGTCCCAATACGCGTATCACAAAATTCCTAAGAGCTTTAAAAGGTATAGAATTATAGAAACTTCAAAACACATATTACCATGTTTTTCGGACACATTTTGTAACACCCCGCTTATCAGAGTAAATTTTTCGCAACTTTTACTTCGAAAATACTTATATCTCTTTCGAAATCTTTTGCGACTATTTCGAGATGCTACTAAACCTTACATCTTGAAAATCCATTTATCTTTAACCTCTTGTCTAATAACTCTTTTAGACATAATTAAATAGATTTTCTTTAAACTTGCATTTAACCATATCCATCCTTCTCAAATTTATAAAAACTTCAAATCATAAATTCATTTAAGAAAATGCAAGTTCAATAGTCAATATGCGTAACGGAATAATCGAAAGCGTGATTTATTATACAAACTTTATTAAAGACTTCATAAAAATCCTTGGAAATGCACAACCACCACCACAACGTCTCGAGCTCACACCTCCGGTCCGACCCTGTTTCCTGAAAAACACAATGGGGGTGAGTACGATCCTCTTGTATCCCGAAAAACACCCATACTAAAGTAAACAGCAATAATAATACAATATCATGATCTCCGGTATATAACTGGACTTAAACTCCTCCAGTA